TCACCCAAAACACTCAAAACTGCCTTAAAATCACTTTCTGGGCAGTTTTGAGCACTTTGGTGAATTTGGACGAATTTATGTAACAAATTTAATCACAACACTTATAAACACAAACTAAATTGATTTCTAACTAATTCGACAAGAAAGTAAAGGGGGATTTAGGTTTTGACGAATTTAAATTAAAAGAACAGATTGTAAGTAAAAACAGATAGTAAAGATGAATGTGATGAAATGGAATGAATGGATGATAGAACAGCTAAGGGGTTCATCTCCATACATGTTACACTTGCATAATAAAACGATTTCCAATTGCATTTCAATGAACCATGAATTCTCAACGCTCCAAGTTAATTAGGTCCGCTTAAATTAACTTTCAAATCTTCCTAACATTATTGGATTGGATGATTGCATACGACAACCCAAAACATTCCCCACAAGTCCCCTACATGATTGCATAATAGAGATACAAGCAAGAATCATTACGCTCTATGAAAATTATAAGTGTTGACGAGACATTCGTTACTATGGAATACGCATGAAACTTATGCCAAGAATTCGTTTAACGCGATTGTTTATAAGCAACCTCCACTACTTGCGAATATAAGTTCGTAACTATTAGGTGAAACTCACTTATATTCTAGCGTCATATTCATGCATGAAAATTAAGCGCGCATTCTCAATAAACATACATAAATAAGTTATCAATCAAACGGTTAAACAAATTGAATCCACAACTTATGAAACGCAATTAGAAGTAATCAAATCAAAATGCAAGCATAAACATATATTTCGAATCCCCCCCTAGCCAAGGGGGGTTTAGTTCCTCATAACTTTGAAATCAAAGAAACACCTAAACATTCCAACAACTCAAACTTGAATTGTATGAACGTTTAGGCACTCTTCTCTTCCATTCCTCATACGTACAAAACAAAGAGAATTGAATTTAAACATTGAGATCAAAGAAACACCTAAACATTCCAACAACTCAAACTTGAATTGTATGAACGTTTAGGCACTCTTCTCTTCCTCGTTGTTGTATCACAAGGTCTAAGGTGAGTTTTGGGATAGTGTGAAGTGTTTTGGAGGGATGGGGAGTGGTTGGAGTGGTGTTTTGGATGATTTTCTGAATATGGACGAATTGAATTAGAATGAATGCAATGGATGCTTATTTATAGGTGAAATGGAGGGAACATGACAGCTAGGAGGGAATGTGGCTGCATGTGCAAGGGGACAATCTGAAAATGCATGTGAAAGCATGTGTTGGCTGCAATGATGAAATGGATGGGAGTGCATGTGGCTTAATTAATTAAAGGGAGTGCATGTGCAATGTTTTAAAGGATGGAATGCATGTGAATATGATGGAAATCTGATGGGAACTCATGGCAAGGATGATTTCTGGTGGTGAATGGGTGTATGTTTGAATGATTAAAGGGACATGTGGGTTGGAAATGATGAAGGAAATGCATGTGAGTGACAACTAGATATGTTGATGAATGCATGTGGAATGTTTGTGGTGAGTGAATGTGCACGACAATGAGTGAATGTGGTGGTGAATGTGGCTGATTTGATTTATGGAAGATGCATGTGGATTAAAGGTGAGTGAATGATTATGGAATGCAATCTGAAATGGGAGATGGAATGGGATGTTTTGCATGTGAATTAAAGAGTGAATGCATGTGCAATGACAGCTAGGTTGAATATGCATGTGGAATGGCTGATTTATTTGAAGATGCATGTGCAATGAAGTGGAATGACAGCTAGGTTATGATGATGAATGCATGTGGTTGATTTAATTGAATAGGAAAGCATGTGGATTTAATGGTTTAAAGGGTGAATGCATGTGGATGCATGTGTTGATGAATGGGATTAGGAAAGGTTTAAATGTCCTAAAACTAAAGGGAACAAGGTTCCAACACTTTGGTCTTCAATTAGCTCTTCAATTTCGTCCAACACTTTGGCTCCAAGCATAAGCTATCCATCCTTAGCCCAAAAGTGCTCCAAAAGTCTCCAAAATGCATCTTTTTGCTCCTTTAGCCCTTTGGACCTACAAACACACGAAAATAGCTTAAAGTACTAAAATAACTAAAGAAACATAACGTAAATGCACGAGAACAAGCCATTTAAGTCGCATGAATATGCTCCTATCAACGAGTTGCCAGCTCGAGAGCCCGAAGGCAACGTGACAGAAGGCTGACGTCAGGGCGACGTCATCCATCATCTCTTCTACATTTCTGGGCCTCAACCTTACAGCTACTCGACCTCCGTCGTCCTTGGAAGCAGCCGAGAAGATCCTCTCCGGACTAAACCCATCGAAGCCTCTGAATTCGTTTTGTTTAAAGGCCAATTCGGCATTGTGGGCTTTCCCGGAGTCGGCGTCATGCTTTCCCGAAGCCAGCGTCGTGACTTCCTCGGAGATGGTTGTCGGAGAAGATGCAGAAGATGCATAATTAAAGAAGAAGTTTTCCGATAAACAAACAAAAAAGGAAGAAGGAAGTGAAGAAGAAGATGCATAATTGAAGAAGAAGAATTGAAGAAGAAGCAAAACCAAATCTGCAGAGAAGAAGGAAGAAGGAGGATTTGGAGATAAATTAATAATATAATATTAATTATAAATAAAAAAAATATTAATATTTTATCACTTATTGTCAGGGCTATTCAGTGTAGGGGTGGAGATGCAAAAGGCAGTTACTGTTCATTAAGGGCAGTTACTATTCACTGAGTGGATTAAATAGTGAATAGCCGGGGGCCTTTGCAATGGTGGAGTTACTCTTAGCGAGACCCCTCAAATATGAGCGGACTAACTAAGACCGTCATCGTCCTCTTGCTCGCTCGCCTCTTCGTGTTCGTTCAGTTCGTCCTGCTCGCCCTACTCACCATGCTCGTCTTGATCGTCCTGATCGAGCTCATCCTGATCGCTCGACTAACTACATTGGCCACGCTCGCTCACTTGAGCAGGCAAGAAATCGTCAATCTCTCTCTCACTCATCATTTACAAATTCCATTTTTTGTTTTGATTATGTAAAATCTGGATTGCTTTGATTATGTGAAATCTGGATTGCTTTGATTTTGTGAAATCTGGGTTGGTCTTATGCTGTGAAATTGCTTGTTCTTCAATGATTTCTGCTTCGAGGTATTTTATGATGTAGTTGTTCGGATTTGATTTCCCCTTCTGGGTATTTATTATCGGTTGTGGTTGTAAATTTATTTCGGTTCTCTTATGCTGAAAATTGGTGGACATTTGATCCCCTTAAATTTCTTTCCTTTTCTGCAGCCAAAGGAGAGAACTTTGTGCAATGGCTTGATTCAGAATTCTCATCCGGTAAGAATTATCAAAACCTGGATATCGTAGCTAATTGAATTCTCAAACTTTAAACCAAATAAGTTGTATCTATTTATATGGGTCCCTGTTTCATGACAAGTTAAGCATAGAGAAGATATCTCCAGGCGCCAACTTTTTCTAATTTGTAACTTTCTTTTATTTCAAGGTTTTAGGCAAACTTGTGTTGTTTTACCTGCTTTATGTTAATATAATCGGAAGTAGGCCTGCTAGTTACTGATATAGATTTTGTTCATCTAATTTGCAATGTGTGTTGTTATAACTGCAAGTTTTGTGGAAGTTGCATATTGTAGATTATGGGGATCTGTTGCAGTGGAAGGATACGGTGATCTTAAAACGAACTGATCCTCTTGCTACTTTTCATTATGTTCATGCCAATAATTATATTTCTCAATCCATCTACTTGGATCAAATGCTACAGCTGCCAGCTCTATATATAATAATAATAATTTAGTACTTTGTTTTATTGAATCAAATTGAAAGTATATATGGCTGGTGCCTCTAACTTGGAAATCGCTAGGGAACAGTGTAGTCTGAAGGGGAGATTATGGACCAATGATGTTGATACTTCAAATAGTGGTGAAGTCATGGTTCATTCGTTTAGTTGTTACTGCTCCTGTTCTTACTTTTAACTTAATGGCTGATGCCAATTCAAATTTGAATCAAGTTGTAGCTAATGGAATGACTAAAGATCTTGAACTTTGTGATACTGCATTTGCTAATCGGTAACATCTTGTTGTTGTATTGAACTTCGATATCACCAACCAGTAGGGAATATTGAAATCTGATGCCAATGGCCGGCTTTTCAAAATGGTAGGACTAAAAGAAATGCGTTTCTTCGTGTCTAATTCTCTTCTAATGCCCTCAAAGTGCTCTAATGGAATATGTCACTACTAAATTGCTACATGTTTTGTTTTGATATATGTAAAAGCATTCGACGTTAGGATGCGATTGAATATCGTGTCTCACAAGAACAAACCGGGCTAAGAGTCTGTGACCAAATCATGCCAAGCTGTAGGCTTAAGACTTGAGTCTTAATTTGTTTTTTTTATTTTTATTTTTATACTAAGGATATAATTTTACTGAGGTGGTAATAAATTTAGGCCAAATCTCACAATAAGTCAAACATAAAGTCTCTAACCTAAGAAAAACTAATAATAATGTAAATGTGAGGTCTCATTTTCAGTTATTCAAATCAAAACAACACAATTCACAAGTGGATTTTCCCTTAATATTTTTTATTTAATATATATATATTTTAACAAAAAATAATATCTACACTAATATTCTTTTATTTTTAAACCCTTATAAAGAGAAAGAATAATTGCATCTCTTATGAGGAAAATGCACGTCATTTTTTTTGTAGGAATGGTTTTGAAACAAAAATTAAGAAACTGAACATGTTTAAATCTTCTGATTAAGAAATTTATACGACAAAAATATTTCATAAATGGTGGAATACGACATGGACACAAGTATTATTCTAAAAGAAATTGCCAGTCTAAGGAAAAAAGTTTATTTAAATATAATAGAGGGTGAACATGTGAAATTACTTTTTGCAAGTGTAGGAAAAATAAAGAATATTTTGAACGAAATTAATGAAGAAGAGCCAGTCAACACCTCCTCCACACTTACAGTCTCGCACTAGTTTTGCGATCTGAGAGAGTTCGCTCGCATTTCTTTTCCGCGGTCCCTCCCCTCCCCAAACCCAACCAACCATGTCGAAGCTCCTCGGCGTCCTTGCCTTCCTAACCCTAACCCTAACCCTCCCATTTCTAGCCCACTCCTTCTCGCCGGACCACCCCACCGACCGCCGCGTCCTCGTCCTACTCGACGACCTCGCCGTCAAATCCTCCCACTCCTTGTTCTTCAAATCCCTCCAGTCTCGAGGCTTCGAGCTCGATTTCAAGCTCGCCGACGATCCCAAGATCTCCTTGCAGCGATACGGCCTCTACAGCTACGACGCCTTGATCCTCTTTTCTCCTTCCGTCGATCGTAAGTCTCTCAGTTGAATTTTGTGATTGTTTCTATCTTGTGATTTGGGAGAAAGTTGTGGAATTTAGGAGCTTTTGATCGGTTGAAATGGAGGATCAATTTATTCAGAAATTGTGTTTGTCGTGTATTATAGGTTTTGGAGGATCCATTGACCTGGCTGCTATACTGGATTTCGTGGATAGCGGTCATGATTTGATCATTGCAGCTGATACCAATGCATCTGATTTGATCCGGCAGATCGCGGTTGAGTGCGGAGTTGATTTCGATGAGGTTGGTTCAAGCATCGAAGCATTTTCACTGGTTGCTGCGTTGATTATATGTTTGCAAGCTTGTCACAATTTCCTCTAAATTGAATTATGTCCAATATGCATCCATTGCTTCATGATATCCTCTACCACCCGAAGAAATTACTTTTCTTTGAAGAATTGATTGTCCAATTTGTTTGAGGATAACAGAAACAAGCATAATCGCTAAGGTGCATGTCCTTATGAATGTAGCCAATTCGAATAAAATTTAAACCAAAAGGGTGTAGAAGAGAGTAAAATGCATTCTTAACAACGGCAGGGTCATCATATTGTGTTATGAACCATCAATACCCTTGCGCTCTTTATGAACTTTGTAGAGGTTAATTTGGGCATCTTCCCAGTTACTACCTCCTATGATTTAAGTACACATCAATAATCAAAAACCACTGTCATGTACTACACTGATGTGATTGCGAGGTTGGAAAAAATCATTCTTTTATCTGCTTATACAATGCAAAGAATATATTTTCCATTTTTACAGAGAAAATCTTAAAATCCTTGGGTTTGTATACCTTTCCTGGAATTATGAATTCAGAGGAAGCATTTTGGCAGCCTCTGTTGGAATAGCTGTGTTCTGGATATATGTTCTTCTACTCCCTTCATCTCATACAGTATTCTACAGGGCTTATTGATACCCAATATTCTTATCTTTACCTTGAATTCTTACAAGTTTATATAGGTCTTACCTTGTCATCCAGCGTTTGGAGCATGGTTATGGAATTGATGTGTTTGGGTAAATTATTTATTATGGATACAGGATCCTGGTGCTATGGTTATAGATCACACAAGCTATGCAGTTTCAGACACTGAAGGAGATCATACAGTGATTGCTAGTGATGATTTCATCAAGTCTGACGTAATTTTGGGTAGCGAGAAAATTGAGGCAAGTTCTATTCTGATAATATTTGTGGCCCAGTTTACTAAATCGTACATTGTATCTTCAGTTAAGTAATATGGGTACTGGTCAGGCCACATATTGTCACATTTTTCCTCGAGCCATTCATTTTTTATGTCCTTGTATCCAGTAGTAGCTTAAGCAAAGTATTTTGAGAATATATAATCGTAGAAATATCAACGGATGCACTTAGAGACAGTTCAATGCACACTACTACTAAATGGTGATGGTAATTGTTGTCTTTGTCTCTGATATTGTTTCCATCGGTGGTTCTGCCACAGGCTCCTGTACTTTTCCAAGGGATTGGCCATGCAGTAAACTCTGAAAATAGCCTGGTAAGAATTTCCAGTTATCCATATTCAATGCGCTGCAACAAACAAGAGAATCAGCCTTTGTGCCAATTAAAGTTATTCAACTTTGATTGTTCATTTGTTTTTCTTTAAAAATTGTTATAACCCTCTTTAATGTCAATTTATAAACATTTAGGTTTTGAAAGTTCTCTCAGCTTCACCTTCAGCATATTCTGCTAACCCCAAAAGCAAGCTGTCAAATCCTCCATCGCTCACTGGATCTGCTATATCTTTAGTTTCAGTTGTGCAGGTATGTTAAATTTTCATAGCCTGTTGTCTGCTCTTCTTTTACTTCTTTGCCGTGTCTGTATTTTGAAATACATATACGGTTTCCCTTGTTTATGTGTTTGTTCATGCTTTAATTGGAAAAATCATGCCTATCTGGTCCATGATAAGGAAATGATATTGTAGGTCGTATTAGTTTGCAGCTTTCTGTTGGCTTCATATTGGCTTCTTGTTAAGCATAGGAATACCTTTCTCTTTCTCAGTCTCTCTATTGTTTAATTTTTTTGGGAGGAAACATTGGACTAATTGCAATAACATATCTACTAACAGAGAACTGTTCTAGAGCATCCTACCTTTTTTACCATTACATTTCATATTATTTTTCACGTCCTCTTTTGCCTATGGGGGCGGTGACTTTTTTCTCAAAATCCTGCCACACCTTTGGAAACGGACCTTAATGTTTGATTCTTCAGTGTCACGATATAGCTCCCTATTGTCTGGTTCCAGATGTTTGCAGTCATAAATATTACTAAGTAGTGAGTTCTCCGGGTGGACTGGTCTGTAAATGAAATAAAGTTTCTTTGATGCTTTTTAGCGAATGAATGTGCATGCATCTATTTTACACATTGTATTTTCTTTAAAGGTTTTCTTGTGTTTATTGCGCAGGCAAGAAACAATGCTCGGGTTTTGATCTCTGGTTCGTTGAGTTTGTTCAGCGACAGGTATGTGATAATTTCCGGCTAAATTACGTTCTCTTATTTTTTGAAAGTTTCCATTGACAGGATTTGGTTTTGTTTATAGGTTTTTCAGATCCAAGGTGCAGAAGGCTGGGAGCTCAAAGAAGTGAGTGATGCTGTGACTTGTAATTTGATTTCCTTGCCATATGTGTTACATTGATATTTTAGGACATCTCCTTTTCTAACTGCCATATAAACTATGAACTTACATAATCGAAGAGGATAAATTATCTTATTAGTGGAGATACAGCTTGCCTGTTGGGAATTAACTTATAGCTATATGTCACGTATTGTGAAGTGGTCTGGTTGTAGCTTTGTGCCCACGTTAACTGATTATTGTACATGATGCAATTCAGTTGTTGATTGTTTAAAAACTAATAAAAGGTTGTAGGCTATGGCGCCTGTTTTGAGGCAGGTATGTGCTTTACGACTTAATGATGAGCTATGATTCATGCAGAGATTAGGCTAGACATGTAGACATCAATGGAAATATGCATCTTGGAGAAGTAAAGGGTTTACACTAGCAGTTTATAAGATATTATTTTCCTAATGTAGCTGTGTACAAAATGACTACTCACAAATAAAATATGCATTTTTGAATGAGTTTGTCGAAGATATCTCTTAATGATGCAGAATACTTTTGCAGTTTAAAAGAAGAAAGTTATGAGAAACATTTTTTTTTTATAACAGACATAAGAAATCGTCAAATGAGCAGTTTCTGACTGAACTTAGCAAATGGGTCTTCCATGAAAGAGGTCATCTCAAGGTGAGGCAAAAATTATTTTCTTCTTGTCAGAATATTGTTTGTTTAATTAGGCCTGAACAAAATAAAGAAAAGAAAATGAGAAAAGCAAAAGAGAAGTGACGGTGGCTGGTTTTAGTCATCTAATTGTTTCATTATAGCTATCTCTATAATCAGTGTTTTTGGGTTTCTTAAATGCTCACCTTGTTAATCATGTTTTGGCCTGTAGGCTGTTAATGTAAAACACAACAGAGTTGGGGAAGCAGATGAACCTGCAATGTACAGGATCAACGATGACCTGGTAATTTTATTTGCTTACGGTGTTAGTAAAAATCCCAATGAAAAAGGGTTAAAAAAACCTAAAGATTTTGGCATCTGACATTGAAATTGCAATTGAAGCAATATTCGGTTGAGATTTATGAATGGCATGGACAACGATGGGAACCATATGTTGCTGATGATGTCCAAGTGCAGTTTTACATGATGAGTCCCTATGTTCTGAAAACCTTGTCGACTGATCAGAAGGTAACGCACGTTATTCACTGCAGATTTTTCGTAAACATCCTTGCTTAATATTCTTCTGTATTGCAGGGTCGTTACTTTACAGATTTTAAGGTTCCAGATGTTTATGGGGTTTTCCAATTCAAGGTTGAGTACCAGAGGCTTGGCTACACAAGTTTGTCTCTCTCAAAGCAGGTAATAAATATTTCTATAAATGGTGTCGGTGCATCTCTAACTTGTTAAGAGAAGATCTTTCAATAAAACCAAGAAAGTTTTGTATGCATTTTATGCTTGTGCGAAATGGATGTCATCATGGACTTGATAAAGTTGGACCTCCGTAATATAGTATTGAAGCTTTGTTATTGATTGAAAATCTGTGGTTCCATTAATAAAATTCATTTCATTACAATTAATACCCAACTGCAGAATGCGTTAAATTTCAATTTACCGCTGTTTCTTATTGAATGTTGATTAAACAATAAAAGACAATAATTCTTGTATCTACCTTTGAACAACCATCCCACTTATGTTTTGCACCTGGAATGGCGCACACTTCAACTTTGAGTAATGAATATTCTCAAGTACCAAAACCTTGTACTGTGACTAAATGTGGTATTTTATTGATTTATTTTAATTCTTGCTTTGTATGAGTGAGTCAGGTTCCCTTTTTTAATGTAATGTTCACACTGCCTCAATGGAAATTTGGATATTGAATTGCAGATCCCTGTTCGACCATTTAGACACAATGAATACGAAAGATTTATACCAGCAGCTTATCCCTATTATGGAGCAGCATTTTCAATGGTAACTCTCTCTTTTGTTCTCTTGAATTGGTCTGTTACATTATACACTCATTCACACACACACACACACACACACACACACACACACACACACACACAATGAATGCGAAAAATACCAGCAGCTACACAGAATGAGCGTTTAAGACAGGATTCCTTGCCATCGAAACTGCCCTTCATTTTCTTATATTTACAAAGATTTTCGATTTGTCATCTTGTCCAACGCTGGTTTAATGGCCTGAAGAGCATCTCATCTTTCATGGCCATGTCAGTGGTGTTAGCCGCCCTATTTCAAGTTACATTGAGCTAAAGCTTAACTCTATGAACTATGTATGTTTGAAGTTACCCGGACATGGGAAATAAGCCCGAGATGCTCATTTATTGGTGCCATAAGCTATTTTTACATTAGCTTGAAACTATTTTGATAACATTATCTTGGTATTGTGATGCAGATGACAGGTTTCTTCGTCTTCACAGTCGTCCACCTATACAACAAGTAGATGTAGAACAATTGTAGGGGAAGATGTAATGCGGTGACTAAGAGCTGATTAGGAACGGAAATTTTGATTACGCAGACTTTATAAATGCATACTATATTGTTAAGTAGTTGAAGAAGAAGATGCCGTCCGGAGGTTGTGCATGTTAAACATCATCCGTACAATCAAATCCCCTTGGATTACACCTTGGTTTGAATATTTACCATTAGAAAGGGGCAGTTATTAATGCATTTACAAAGAATAGGAACTGAAATAATTTTGATTCTCTTAGACCTTCTCCAAATCTGGGCTATTTGCTAAATTTTTCCCCCAAACACCACTCAACCCAAGCTAAAACAATGGGCTAAAAGTAAAATGTAACCATCTTTAACTCTTGGGCTAAAAGCCAAATTTTTTAGTTCGGAAAATTTGTCTTTTAGTTCAAAAATAGTTTTTCTGCTTTAACTATTTTGGTTTAAAATTTTAGTCTGGAATTATTAAAGAATGAACTTAGGTTAATTTTTTTTAAAACAAATAAATATGTACACTATTGTAAATTAATTTTATGAACATTTTGATCAAAAAGAATTTTAATTTCAATAAAAATTGAAAAATTACTAAATTTTTCACAAAGCAAGCCTTCGACTTTAACCAATGTTTCAATTTTCACCAATCGTTCAACACCCAACGTTCAACTTTCACCAACCGTTCAACACCAAACTTTAAACTTTCACTAACTGTTCATCAATCATCCTATATATAAAAACAAAGTCTAATATTGGTTGATCACACAATCTTTCAACCTTCAATCATCCTCTATATTCACCAATCCTTCAACTTTCAAAGAGTTTGTTTTCTAAAAATCCTCAATATATCATCAATGGGTGATAGAAGAAGGCGTAGCAGGGCAATGCAGATGACACAATACCAAGCAAGGCTTGACATTGAAGATGCAGAACTGATCAACGCCGAAGCTGAACTTGTAAACTTGTTTATGCAATATGAGCACCATGGCGAATTTAGCCATTGTGGTTTTGTCACGGGGTGTTTATTCATGCAACGTGAAAGAGAAAGAGAAGAATGTCATGATTTTTGGAGGCGATTTCGGATGAGCAGAGAGCTTTTTGAAAGTATCTTGAACGCAGTTGTCAATCATGACCACTACTTTGCAAAGAAGATAAATGTCGTAGGCTGACAAAGTCTATCACCTCATTAGAAGCTCACATCTGCATTTCAGATGCTAGCTAATGGGTGCTCTGCTGACTCAACTGACCAGTATTGCCGACTTACGGATAGTACTGCTATTGAGAACCTGAAGCGCTTCTGTCAGGCAATTCAAGCCATATATGGAGCCACATACCTCCACAAGCCACATTGTGAAGACTTGAAGAGGCTTCTACGCAAGGCAGACAAAAGAGGCTTCCCTGGGATGATAGGAAGTCTCGATTGTATGCATTGGGAATGGAAGAATTGTCCTACTGGTTGGGCTTGCTAATTCAAGGGCCGTCATAACAAGCCAACCATCGTGCTGGAGGTTGTGGCGTCTTACGACACATGGATTTGACATGCATTCTTCAGCGTTCCCGGATCAAACAACCACATCAATGTTCTTTGGTCTTTTCCTCTGTTCGATGATGCTGTGAATGGATGGGCACCAGAATTTCGGTTTAAGGTAAATGGTAATATGTATGAGCTAGGTTACTACATAATTGATGGTATTTATCCTAGTTGGTCTATCTTTGTCAAAAGTTTTTCTCATCCCGATAGTGCAAAGACTTTTGACAGACTTTTCTCAAAAGTTCATCTTTGCACTATCGGGATGAGAAAAACTTTTGACAAAGGTAGATCAACTAGGATAAATACCATCAGTTAGGTAGTAACCTAGCTCATACCTATTACCATTTACCTTATATCGAAATTTTGGTGCCTATCTATTCACAACATCATCGAACATAGGAGAAGACCAAAGAACGTTGATATCGTTGTTTAATCCAGGAGCACCGAAGAATGCATGCCAAATCCATGAGTCGTAAGACGCCATAACCTTCAGCACGATGGTTGGCTTGTTATGACGGCCCCTGAATTGGCCAGCCCAACCAGTAGGGCAATTCTTCCACTCCCAATGCATACAATCGAGACTTCCTATCATGCTAAGGAAGCCTCTTTTGTCTGCCTTGCGTAGAAACCTTTTTAAGTCTTCACAATTTGGCTTGCAGAGGTATGTGGCTCTATATATGGCTTGAATTGCCTGACAGAAGCTCTTTAGGTTCTCAATAGTAGTACTCTCCGCAAGTCGGCAATACTCATCAGTTGAGTCAGCAGAACACCCATTAGTTAGCATCCGAAATGCAGATGTGAGCTTCTGATGAGGTGATAAACTTCGTTGGCCTATGACATATATCTTCCTTGCAAAGCAGTGGTCATGATTGACATCTGCATTTAAGATGCTTTCAAAAAGCTCTCTCCTCATCCAAAACCACCTCCGAAAATCATGAGTAGGAAATCTCGGGCGCTTGATGAAATAATCTTTCATCATTTAGTCATAACATTCTTCTCTATCATGTTGCACGAATGAACGCCCCGTGACAGAATCACGATGGCTAGATTCGCCATGGTGCTCATATTGCATAAACGAGTTTACAAGTTCAGCTCCGGCATTGATAGGTTCTACATCCTCAATGTCAAGCCTTGCTTGTTATTGTGTCATCTGCATTGCCTTGCTACGCCTTCTTCTATCACCCATTGATGAGATATTAAGGATTTTTAGGAAGCAAAAACTCTTTGAAAGTTGAAAGATTGGTGAATATAGAGAATGATTGAAGGTTGAAAGATTGTGTGATCAATTAATATTGGACCTGTGTTTATATAGAGGATGATTGATGAACGGTTGGTGAAAGTTGAAAGTTTGGTGTTGAAAGGTTGGTGAAAGTGGTGAAAGTTGAAAGTTTGGTGTTGAATGGTTGGTGAAAGTTGAAAGCTTGCTTTGTGAAAAATTTAGTGATTTTTAAATTTTTATTGGAATTTAAATTTTTTTAGATTAAAATGTTTACGATAGTCTACATATTTATTTATTTATTTATTTTTTAAAAGTTTGATTTAAGAAAAAATATTAGCCTAAGTTTATTCTTTAATAATCCCAGGTTAAAATTTTAGGCCAGAAGGCCAGAAGGGCCAGAAGGTTAAAATTTTAAGAGTGTCTAGGGTTGGACTAGGAGGGATCTTTTGCTTTCATTTTTCTTTCTTATCGGAGTTATTTCACATAGACTTGCCATGATAAGGAAGTAGGGAGGAATAAGCACACTTGGGGAGTGCAGTAAAACAGAGTTGTATGCTGGGTTTGGGAATGATGAATCGGTCCAATCAAGCACGTCTGGGATATTTTTCACAATAACGGAATCGTTATACTTGATTCCATTGTGTTCATCGTCATAGAACTTGATGGGGGTCTTGAAAAACAAGTAATTTACGTTGGGCCTTTATTTCTTTTGTTAGGTTCATTAGGGTTTTATTGGTTGGAAGATTGGAATACCTACCTAGTTATTTTGGTTGGAATTTATATTTCTATTTCCTTCTTAGCAAATAATTTTATTTTTCACAAGGTTTCGTTGGAATTGATCAATATATCTTGAAACAAACAAAAAGGAAACAAAAGACAAAACATAAATGACCAACTAAGCCATGCCGCCCATAGTGTCTGTGTTTTACTAAAATTTGGGTAAGGGAATCATGTCATTCAACTATTTTTTTAGTCTACTTACACGCAAAGAATCTGAAAAGTGCAAGTTTTATCTTAAAATCCGTAATCAAATACCAAAAAAAAAAGAAATTGAATCAACTAGGGGGAACTAGTTTTGAATTCATTTTCTTCTCCTATTTTTAGGCTTTTTGATTCGTTCATTTTCTCATTTTGATTAAGTGAACATACCCCTCTCTTCTACTTGTAAGTGTTCGCTTATAAAACGTGCTAGGACGTAAAAAGTAATGTTTGCCTAATTTTTTTTTTTTGAACAAGTAGCAATTTGCCGCATTCAAAAAGACTGCAGAGGAATGTATAATTAATTTTATGAATAACATAATGATTTTTGGAGTTTCAAACAAAATTATTGAAAACTTGGTCCTCATTGTTAATTGAAATAGAATTATCGGAAAACGAGTGCCGGAAATAAAACCCACTGTCCACCAGATGGAGCGGCATAAACAGAAACAAGAAACTAAAACAAAAAAAAAAAGGTTTGGATTGGATTGGATTGGATAGAAGAAAAAAATGTATGGAAAGTTACTAGTAAACGCCGTGTGATGATTAAAAACAGGCATTTATCAGCGAAACCCTCCACAGACTATGTTATTGGCCTCCTATGAATCAGATAAAGCACCTTTTCTCTGCTTTTCTGGGATTAATGAAGGCACCAACCACGACCACAACACAACACAATTTCTACCCTTTTCTGCGATTAATGAGGGCACCCCAAACCCACAAAATTATTTAACAAGAAACGAAAAGCCTGAAGAAAAAACCGAGAGAGAAGCAGGAGCTTTGAGGTTTGAAGTGACCGGGCGTCTTGTTTTTGGTTCACTTGGCTGCCTCCAAAGTGTGTTTTTATAGTCGAGGCTCGAGGGAGATGAAACCCTAAAAACGTTTGTTGAATTTTCTATTACGCTTTCGGTCCTTCAACTTTGTTGTTTTCCTTTATATGCGCCTCACTGTTATGGACAATTGCAATTGGGCTTACAATGGCAATCACCCTGCGTTTATCCAACTCTAGTAGGTATGGGTTGGCTCGCCAAATTAGAGTCCAATACGATTCCAGAATATATTATTAGAACTGTAAAATTTTAAGAAAATTAATGACAAAGACCTCACAATAATAATAATTTTTTTTTTATTTTTTTATTTTTTTTTTACACATAACGTTAGATTTTGTTAGATTAGAAGTTAGATTAACCACTAACAGGGTTTGAACTCATACTGTCATGCAAGGGCTCACACATTTCCACCACTATGATAAATGGTCACTTGCAAAGATCTCACAAACTTTAATTTTACAAAAAATGCTTTTCTTACTATATATTTATACCTCATTTATATCATCTCTCTAATAGAGATGAGATCCATATGCGGTGGCAAACCTACCTCTATTAGAGATGGTACAATTACAAATAGGTGGTAAGTGTAGCATTATTGTTAGTTTTAACCAAAAGCCAACTAAATGAGAAGCAATTTTAACCAAAAGCCAACTAATTTAGAGCTTCTCATTGGATATGCATTTTTTTTTTTTTTTTGGAAAAAGGCTTCTTCACATATAATACAACTAAAAGATACACAAAAGGAAACCCAAGGCCCAAACATCACACATAAACAAGCAAAACACGGGCCAAAAAAGACAAACTACAAAGGGCCAACTAGTAGTTGAAGCCCAAAACACACAAAAGAGGTTACAGACACCAAACAAATCTACTACTTTCGCCGCTGTTCTCGATCCGACCAAGTCCTTGTCCACAGCTAAGCATTGCCAGATCAATTGCAACAACGCACATCGATTAACGTTTCGAGCACAGACACAAAGAAAGGATAGCCAGCAAGTGATCGGAAGAAGCCAACTATCAGCATAAAGTTCATGGCAACCCACGAACAACATTGCCGGAAAAGGCAGAGACAGTGAGAAGGTGGTGGTGTTGAACACCTGAGCCGGTGGGAACACCGGAACTCTACACACCATCTCAAAGTCCCACAACAAGTTGCGGTTTGGAAGCGATTGCAAATGGAACAAAGAGGAGTAGGAAGGAACGCTGCTAGGGGTAGGAAGCAATGGCCAAATCGGAAAGGAGAGCAGGGGAAAAAAAAGGAAGAAGCATCGAGATAAGCAAAAAGAAAAGAAGAAGAAGAAGAAGAAGAAGAAGAAGAAGAACATAAGAAAGAGGACAAGGCATAGAAGGGGAGAAGAGGAGAAAATAGGAGGAGGAAGAGAAGAGTGGTAATCGACTCCAGCCAAAGCTCGAGTTGGCGCCTAAGAAGGTGGGCAAGATGAAGACCCTCACCAAAAGGAAGGGAGGAAACTCTCACAGAAGGAGAGAAGGGCTCTCACGGAAGGAGATAATTGATTGACCTTTTTTCCTCATCAGATATGCTTATTTGACACTTTACCTTCAACTTTTATCTTGTTCAAAATTTTATCCCTCAAAAACCATGAAGCACGCAAATAGTTAAAACGTATATTAATAAGAATTAGGCGTAAGTGGTGGATTATCCTGATGGTTAGAGTTTTCCTCTTTAATCTACTGTGTCACAAGTTCAAAATTTCCCCATTTTCTTAGCATAATAAATTAGTGTAAAGGATCCCTTATAAATTTATAAAAATAAAAAATTAGGTAGGTCACATTGCACAACATTGCCAATTCAAATTGCATTGTAACCTCATCCATTAAGATTTAAAAGTGGTGTTGTCATTGATGTCAAGGCAAAGTAAATTTGGCTTACTTGTTGTCTCCTTCGCACGAGATGCTCTTAAATGATAACTAGTTTCGGCTGAACTCTATATCCCCCTTTTTTGACATCTCAATGCCAATGGCAATGCAGATTACTCTTGTAATGTAGAATATCCCTTGTGGTACAAACTAGGCCTCTCAATTGTCTAAAATTGTTAGAATATACTAATGTATAACATACATTGTTGAATTTAATAATTGAATGTCGGCTAAAGAGTTCAAAAATATTTTAACAGGTGAGTCTAAGATTCTTAAAAGCAATGTGGGCCATAATAGAAGGACTCATTTTGTATTGTCGCTTTCATTCTTTTTTACTTCTTGTACAACTGATGCTTAGGTGGAGTCACTAAAGGAAGAGATTTTTCAGTGTGATGTGTGTGTTAAAAAGTTAATAACTTTAAAAATAAAATTTCTAACTATTTATATAAAATCACGTGATTTACCACTTGTGTTTCGATCACAATGAAAAATTTCTCAACTAAAGGAGAAATAACTTCGTGTGCCATAGGTACACCACTATTGTGTGTCCCGTGCCAATCACACATGATGCTATATAATTGGCATGGAACGCCCTGATGACGGCTTACCCGTGTCATAAAAACCTTTTTGTTTTTTTTTTTCTTTGGCATGTTAGGGTAGTTTGACTTTGACATGAATGCAATACCGGATCAAGGCCATAGCTTAAAGGGTGTCAAGGCCAGAATTTATTTTTCTTTCACTAGATTTCAGTTGTTTTGTCCCTTTGATTCTTGATAATGTCTAAAAGAAGCAACTTAGTTAAGTGAACGATTTTAGTTTGGTAAGTTTATTTATGAGGTTTTTGATGCTTATATGATGAATTTGTTGCGATTTGAGAAGTAAGAGAAGAGTTACCTGTTGTGTAACTTCGAAGTATGATCTTTCAACTAAAAAGTAAACGAAAAACACCTGCGGGGTCGGTATCCAACTGATAAAGATAATGTGACAATGACATGAATTAAACTTGCTTAAAAAACAAGTTTATGGATTAAACAAGAAAGATAGTGTGACAATGATATGAAAGAGAGCAGAAAGTCAGAAGATAAGGACACTCAACTCACAATATAAAAAAAAACTTAAAGTTCTGCATCCTATCTTTTACAACTTCTTTTTGTAATTCATCACGTTTGCAATTTTATTTATGTTTTAAGCTCTAATACATTACATGTAGTATTGATTTCCTGTAAGAAAACTTCATTTGAAGGCACTTCAACTGCTAGCAAGAACTTGCCCAAATAGGTCTAAACTTTGCCCGATCTTTTGTATTTTGCCTTTCTTTTTGAGTTATTAGTTTATTGTTGGATATTTAATAAGTACTTAACGTCATTTCTTTTCTGTCTTTCATTTTCATATAGTTTGTCCGACATTTCGTGAGTATATTTATGTGAGGATTGTAAATCTGAGTTGAACCAAGATCCAACCAATTTGTGATTATCATTTGGCATACACAAAGAAGATATTTAAAGTCATTTACAGACAAGGCATAGAAAAGAACTTAACATAGATTTTAACCTCATCTATAGCACAATTTTTTGATTAGAAGTTCAGTTTACTTGTGGTGCAAGTTTACAATCTAACAATAACTTCATTAGATTTTTTTTGTTGGTATTAACTACAATGGCACGCCTGACATAAACCAACAACTCATTTTAAAAAACTTAGATGTCTTCTTAAGGCGTTGAAAGGCATTTTAAACTGATAAGAGTTACCAAGGAGAATTGTATCGTAAACACAAATATAACTTTAGAACACATAATCCAAAAAAAAAAAAAAAAAGATTAGATAAAGCTTGATAAAACAAAACACAACGACAGAAATTAACTGAACAGAAGCGTACAAGCTATCCACAACCAACAAAAACAAATTAAGGAGAAACTTAAACAGATGGACATATCATTCCATGCAACACATGCATGCACTTTTAGCAACGGATAGGCTGGCGAAGGTTGCATCTGGCAGGAAGCTGCATGGCAAGGTTTGGGTCGATTCCGTAGGCACTGAGAAAGTTTGAGTACTTCTTGAAAAGACAAAGGCATCCGAAGTCCGCGTACGAAAGAGCCGAGCAACACAGAGCTGAGGGAGGCGGAGGGTTCGCCCCGCTCACTGAAGGGGCGCATGCATTGAGACCTTCTTTTGTCATGCGGCAAAAACTCTCGTCGCTGTTGGCCATCAAGGCGTCGGAGCCAATGGCTACTGCCAAAAGCAATGCCACAAGAACAACAAGCTTTCTGTATGCTTCCATGTCTCTCTCTATTTCTCTCACTCACTAATATTATCTTGGATTTCTAAGTGTAGCGATGAACTATGTGAAAGATGGTTTGTGGGATTGGTTTTTATATAGCTAGAAGGCAAAGGTATATGGGAAATTGGGAATGGTGGGTTGTCTTACTGTTGCCCACTTGTAAATATAAATGGGTATAGATTTGTCACAAACCTCCATACCCTCTTTTGTGTCTCTTCCCATTATCGCTTGTAAATATAAAAAGAAAATCATCATGCTATAATCAGATATATATTATGTTAATATTGAGATTTGTAGAATGTTTATTTGCCATACTATCCCCACATTGAGAATTTGAATGATTGATCAAGTTGGTTCTTGCTTGAATGTGTGACTATGATTCACAATTAATTTGACATAATCAACATTTGTAGCAGAATATAAGTTTGGTATCAAAACATTAGCTAGTCATCCATCACACTAGGTTTAATTGTATTTGTAATATGCATCTTAAATACAAAACCTTGACTTAAAAACACTTGACTCCACATAAAATAAATCATTTTGTAGTTAATATATAGAAACGCATCGAATAGAACCTGTAATTGTGGCATATTATAATTAGCAGCATGCATGCATTGCAATGTTAGAACTCGTGACGCAGAGTTGGCGTATTGGGATTACTGTGGGCTCACAGGGCTGTATAGATCACGGAGGTGCATTGGTGATTGGTCTTTTATGGGGAAGCATTATCCAAATTAATCAATTGTTTACTACCATAATTAAATTAAGGAATGTGATTGTTAATTTGGTGACATGTGACTTCATATGCATTTGTTATTCTTGATGGGGATGGAGGTGGAAAAGTCATCAATCAACATGAGTTTATAGGATAATAAGAGCATCTTTAATAGAAGACACAAAATGTCAGATCGGATATAAAATATATATCATAATTAAAAATTGTAGATAAAAATTCTAATTTACACATTTTCTATTAATGTAGAAAGCATTCTGTCTCATGTCTCACTATTGATCAGTATCAATGCCGTTGTAAAGGAAACTTCTAGGAATATCACGTTTTTTTACCACATTCATGAACGATATGATGTGGTAAGTGAGATGTAATTGTCAAATCAATGAATAAGTTTATCTCATTGAATTTTGGTATATGTGTCATTGGCCACGTCAACGTTACACATGAATATGTCAAAAAATATGATCTCCCATTTATAATGGTTCATTAACTTCATATTGTATCCAATTTTGATTTGTAGCGGACCATTTCAAAAGAAATATTTCAATTGCCATTTATTTTCGTTGCTTTATTTCACCTTCTTACGTTATAGTCGTTGAATTTGAGGGTATTCAATTAGTGATTAATAGTCCAACGGGTAACTCTACTTAGTCTCATGTATTTCAATTACCCCAGAGCTTCCACTCTCAGTGAACACACACACACACACACACTCTTTTACAGTTTTACTTTTCGAGTGAATCACCTTTCTCCTCTCCTTCATTGATTCATCATATTCTTTTAAAGTGTTATTAACACCTTAGGTCAAAGCCAATAGCCTCACGCGCCCACGATGAATGTGTTGGTGTTGGGGGGGGGGGGGAAAGGAGCTTTGGCTGAAGAACCTTAGATGCCAAAATTAGAATTTTGAGAAAAAGTGTTTCGAGAATTTTGAGTATTTAGCAAGAGTGTAGACCTAGGTTTTTAGAGAAAATTGAGTAGTATATATAGGGCATGGCGAGCCTCCTTGGGGAAGAAGGTGTCCGGCCCTTGGTGGTGTTTTTGAGTGTATTTTGTAGTTAATTGGTAGTTTAATTAGCCATTAATAGATTAATTAGGTAATAAATCTATTAATTAGTTAATGAACATAATTTAAAAGGAATGTTTTGGGGGTTACCATGTGGAGAAGATGGATGAAATAGGTTTTGAATAAATACCTATTTTGGGCACTTTTGACTTGATTGTGGGATAATTGTCCACTGCTCGCGCATGGCAATTTCGATGCTCCTTAAGAGTAATTTTGTATTTTCTGCCAAAAAATCTACATGCCGTCTCTTGATTATTTTTTGCTCCACAAATGCCCCACACCTGCTGGGCTGCTCGCAGGAAAGGGCAACAGGTGTAGAGATCTCCAACTTTGATGAAGATTCTCTCTTGGACTTGGAATTAGATTCTTCTAGGAAAGGGAAATAAATCGCCTCCAAAGCCTATTTAAGCCTACCTTAAGTAGGGGATTAAATCAACTTCGGAGGGCAATTATTTATACTTACAAGAAAGAGAGAAAGCTAGAGGATATCTGTTCCCCCTTGCCTAGCACTCTTCTTTGCTTGCCCATGCAAAGAACCGTTTTCCGTTGATTTCTTTGTCTTCTTTGCGCTGCACTGATGTAAGAAAAAACTTAATTCTCCTAGCTTCTTCTTGGGAGGTGCTACCACGGGGTAGCCATCAGGGGTGCGGCACGTCGGCTGGCAGGGGCCATGATTTGACTTGGCATGGGCTAATGAGGTGGTGTGGCAGGGGCCATGTCTGGGCTCTTGCTAAAAATGAGGAAACTGCTTGAGTTTGATTTATGAGCTGCTGTAGATGGAGCAGTTAAGGATGGAGCTACTAAGATCGGAGCTGCTGAAGATGAAGTGTCAGATGAGTGAACTGTTAAGTGCAAAAGTGGCTGCTGCCCCTTGACCATTTGCTACCTAGTTGATCTTTAAGCATTCAATCTTTTGAGCTATGTGGCTTTCTCGCACTGGAGAGCTTACCCAGATGGGTGTCGAGGAATTAGTTTACCCTCTCGCACTGGAAAGCAATTAGTTTATCCTCTCGCACTAGAGAGCAGACCCATATCGGTGTCGAGGAATTGGTTTACCCACTCGCATTGGAGGGCAATTAGTTTACCCTCTCGCACTATAGAGCAATTAGTTTATCCTCTCGCACTGGAGAGCAGACACATATGGGTGTCGGGGAATTGGTTTACCTTTTCACACTGAAGAGCAATTAGTTTATCATTTTCGCACTAGAGAGCAGACCTAGAAAGGGTTTTGAGTAGTTGTTGTGGATAGTAGTTGAGCCAGGCTTATGAGTAACTTCTTGAATCTTTGTTGAGAGTAAAGAAATAAATCAATTGTGCAGGAAGGTAGAAACTGCATAACAAACTAGATAATCTTCGACTTGCGAGGCCTTGTTCGTCGAGATGCTTGAGACTTCAAACTTATTTAGAAAAGCCCAAACGGGGTTCATGGGTTGATGGAGGCTTCCCCTGCTTGTGTAGGCCGCTTCGTTGACCTATCAAGATATTGGTCGCATCGGCCCTTATTTGTCAGCTTCTCAAGGTACTGCTTCCATTTCAGGCAGCCGTTCGTAGTGTGGCCCGGTCCTTGATGGAATGCGCAATACTTTGTATGATTCAGCCTAGTAAGATCGTTTTTCATGGGTGGCGGCAATTCGAACCAAGGTTCGTTCTTGAGCTTGCAGAGAATTTGGCTGATTGGAACTATGAACTTGGTGAATGTTTCAGGCTTGGAGTCTTCTCTGGTAGGGAATGTTCCATGTGTTTTTTTTTTTTTTTTTTTTTTTTTTTTTTTTTTCTGACTCGTTTTTGTTAGATTGCTTGGCCTCGTCCCATAGTGCATGCTTTTCTACCAAAGCATATGAAGCTGTTAGGGTCAATTATTCTCCCATGATTAGTTTTCTGAATAAAGGGTGTTTGGTGGGAAGCCTATTTCTGAATGCTGCCGTTGCTATGTCTTTTTTGCAGCCAACAATCTTGGCCTTCTCCACTTTGAACCTCTTGACATAGCCGCGAATTGTCTCCCAAGGGTCTTTTACGATGTTGAAAAGATGGTCAAATGTCCTTTTGATTGAGCGGTTAGACGAATACTCCTTAATGAAAACAAAGGAAAGTTCGTTGAAACTCCGGATCGACTGCGGTGGTAGAGTGTAAAACCAGTCTTGCGACTTGCCTTGCAAAGTTGCGGCAAAAATTTTGCACATAAGCGCATCGTTGTTCCTTTAGAGGATCATGGTATTGCGGTAATGCTTGAGATGTCGATCCAGATCTTTTTCTCCTTTGTATGAAGTGAAGTGAGGCATAGTGATCCCGCGAGGTGGATCTGTCCGATCGATCTCATTCGTGAATGGTGACATGCTTATGTTGGTCATGTCTCATCGAAACACATCGTCAGCAGCCTCGTTACGTTGGAAATTGCATAATCGTTCAGTTAGGAGCCTTTCAACTTCTTCTTGAATTTGCCTCTGCTGGGGCAGTGGAACTTTTGGTTGCCCTCAATCGCGACCTAGGTTTGGGCCATTCTTTCCTATGCTCGACTAGTCTATGTCGCAACTGTGGTGTATGTGGCATGTTCCTGGCACGCGAACGGGCAGCTCGCAGGCTACCAGTTGAACTTGAGTCAGATTAAGTGACTGCTTCTCTCCGTCTGCCATGCTACCTACTCTGATGTGAGGTGGAGGATACTTCTTACGAACCTAGTTGTGAATGAACATTTCGCCTGGAAGGTTGTCCATGTTGATAATCAGAGGGTGACCTCAACCGTGAACGTATACTCGTCTGTGGGCTTGATCGGGAATGTAAGCTCATCCGCACGCTAAGACGAGAGTATACGCTATCCCAAGGACCCAAGCGGGAGTGTAAACTGCCAGAACGCTTGGATCGTGGTTGGTTGATGGGCTGCTTGCGAAGATGCTAGTGGAGAGGTTCGTCTGCCCTTAATCTACTTCTGGACACCTCGTCCGGGGCACATTGGATCTCAGTGCGTTGCAAGATTTGATTCACTAAGGTTGTGTTGTTTGCCATTTGGATTGGAAGAGCTTGGTTCTTGAGTAGTGGAAGTGTAGTAGGCTTCGGGCGCGAGATTTGAATTAGAAAATGTCAAATTCGAGGAGAAACGTGATGAAAATGCCCCCGATTTAATCGTAGGCCCAGAAATTTAAAGCTGGGACGGTTAAACTACTCTTGGACTGATTTGGGCTGCTTGGAATGCCACAGGAGCAT